TCTTTTTAACAGTTAGAAACATACAGATTTGAGACCTGAGTTACTAGACTTCAACGAACATACTAAACATCACTGAACAGAAACTACATACTAAACAAGAGAGATACTAGACGGTCATGAATAAAAACTATGTACTAAACCTTAATGAGCCGAGACTAAACTGAAGTCGGTTGATTTCTTCAACCTCAAGAGTTTGTTAAGAGTTCTCTTAAACTGTGTAGTCTTTGTCTTAAAAATCTCAATTTCAGAGGCTTCTTGTCTGTGACAGCAACATCATCACTAGTTGGTTTCTTCTTGGAACTTGTCCGTCTCATTCCCAACTTGAACAGCTTTAACAGAAACGAGTTTATTGTTCTGTGCTCTGTTTTCTTCTCTGTGGGAGATGGACTTTGTCTTTCCACAAGACCCATCGAATAAAGAATTCGATCCACCAATCGGTCCGAACTGCTGAGAAGGAGCCACTATTTCCAGTCGACGAACAGGCTTAGAGCCGATCAATACGACTCGGCCGTACCAAACAAGAAGAGCAGACCTGAATTTAAGCCCACGAAGAAGGACACGGCCCATTAGGGTTGTCCGTACAAGGGCTGAAGAAAAGGAAGTGACCTATAAAGGCCGAAGGGAGGAGAACATGAGAGGGATCCGAAATGACACTCACCAAGCGGCTAGCAAACTAGGGTTTATATCTACCTTTTGTATTCCGACCAATCCGTACACTTCCGGTCAGCTCTTCGAGCACCGAAGTTACAATCTTTGTACTCCCTTCCGGTTGTAATAAATTCTTCTTACTTGTTCTCGATTTGTACACAACTTCCAAAATAACCTATCGACGAGTTATGTCTTCCCTTTAATCGTTTTTGACTGAACTCGGTTCAAACAGTTGGCATTCACCATGGGACATAATGGAGTAGTGTGAAGAACATACATGTTACCCAAAGAAACTTCTTCCGGTGACCAACTGGAGCTGACCCCAATCGCCGCTCCGATTGTGGAAAGCTATATGGATACCATTATGGCACGCTTCGCTCAACAAGAGGAAGTTCGGGAGGCGACAAACGCTCAACTCGTTGCTGCACTTGTACCTCCCGCTGGACCTACGAGCAACCCTCCGACGGTCCGACAACTGCTCTTCGGAAAAAACTCCATGACTACTCCTGCCGAGTAGCTCGTCGAACCAACACAACATAAGACCGACAATTCCGTACAATCGGTTGGCAAACCAGATTTGCAGACCATACGCGAAATCGTCGAGCTCAAGCTCTCTCTCCAAAATATTACCTCCCAGATCCACCACGTCACAAGCGCAGCTCCTCAGATCGACTGCGTCCTCGCCGCCACGCTCAGAAAAACCTTCACCAAATGCATTAGCGGGGTCAAACCCCTATTAACCGAGAAACTTTGCCAGCCGACTTACTTTGGAGAGAGCGACCCTACAGACCACGTAACTGCCTTCAATATCGCCATGGGAAGGGTACGTTTCCCCAATGAGGAGAAATATGCCGGCTTCTACCAGCTCTTTTTGGAAAGCTTCGCCGGGCTGGCTTTAACCTGGTTCTGACCGAGGGTTCCATCAACAATTTTCACGACCTCTCCTCTGCATTCCTAAAACACTACATAATGTTTACTTGGCAGGGGGCCACAGCCTCCGACTTATGAAAGATATCGCAAACCTCGGGCCAAAGCCTCATGGACTTCATGGGGAAGTTCAAAGCCCTGGTCTCCAAAGTGACAGTATGGCAGTGGACACGCTCCAATACGCGCTATACGTTCATGCTCAGTTCTGCCAGGATATGTATCGCAGTCCAACGACCTCGGTCGGTTCAACAATTTTATCCGAATGGAGGCAAACCCAAAATTTTCAAATTTTGGGAGTCAAAGTAAAATTTATTTTCTTTATATTGATTCTACCGAGACTACTCTCCGAGCCAACCACAACATGAAGCGGTCAACCCAGCTCAAATGCAACACTCAAAACCAGAACAAGGACAGTCCTCAGGAGGCAATGAAGTGGAAGAGATAACCAGAACTGAGTTTAGACGCTCTCAAGGTATCACTTGATACGTAATGAGGAACCTGAAGAAGACATCAACCCAATGTTCCTGAACTGTATCAGATCCATGAATGCCCGCAACTCAGCTCCAGTGAGACGGCGACAACAAGAACATGGACCCTCCTCACGGGCCAAGGGTTCTCGTCAATACTAATGCCTATATTTCTATAAACCATTGCTTCAGTCTATGATTTATTTGCTTCTGGATCTATTGTAGTGAATCATTATATTTCTTTTGGTATGTTTGTTATTTGTGTCTCTTAATTCACTAAAATATACATTTAAATTTATTATTTTATTTACAAATTATGCTATTCATTATTTCGAATAAAACAATTATATCAAGAAATTTCAAAATAGCTATCAAAAATTGATTTACATATGTTTCATCATACAAAATATAGGGTATTTCAAATTAGCTATGAAAATTAACATTCTAGCACAAGAAACAAGCTATTTTATAGTATTAAGCAACATACAGAAAATGATATTATAGGAGCACGCCTTGAAAAGCACAAGAGTTACAAAAATATATTCCGTGGCAAGACATATGTGTCATTATAAATTACTAGATTCTTTCTCCGCGCTACGCGCGGAAAATATATTTTTCATTTTATATTTAGATATAAATTTTCACATATTTCATTTTATTTTAGATATAAATATTTTTTATTTCTGTAGTTGACATTTTATTATCTCGGTAAATTTGTTAATTTTAAATTCTTTGAATTTCGTATGTTTTCAATTATCTGTCCTAATTAAGCTAAAGTGGGAAAGAGATATTTTGTTTTTAACATTTATTGTAGAATGTAAATGTTTTATCCTTTTAATTTAATCCAGAAGCATAATTATTATTTTTAAAATTTTATTATTATTGAAATGGTGGTTTGATAAGAAAAAGTCACCCATTTATTTTTAAATAGTAAAAGTAAAGCCAATTACGATATAAAAGACTGAAGCGTCAATTTTTTTTCAGTATAAAAGAAACCAATGGGTGATGGCTGGAGTTTTCTTCTTATGGGTGGTGTTGTTTTTTTTTTGTGTCCTTTGTAATTCTTGATGTGTCTGATTGATTTGGAGAAGTAGAAATTTGTTGCTCGTGATGAAGTGAGTTCTAGTTTACCTGGAAAGGAACTTTTTTTTATAGGGCATGGTTATAAAGCACTAATGTACTTTTTATGTTCTATAAAAATAGTTAATTACCTTGAAAAACTTTGGTTATTATGCTTGTGATGATGATCACTTTAAATTTTCTATCCTCCCTGCTTTGTAAGATACTAAATTCTCCTGCTGGTTTGTCCCATAGCATCAACTTAACCAATTTTGAGTTGTTCAGCATCAAACCAATGGTGAACTTTCTGGTCGATTCTGGGTTGTTGGGTTTCATCTCATGCATTATCAGTATTTGCCCGACGACAGCTATACAATATTGTGTTTGTGTTAAATTAAAATAATTATGTTTTCTATTGAAAGATTGATGAGTGGTTTACCAGGTAAATAGCTCGGGGTAGTTGCTAAGCGTAGTAGACAATTGTAACTCTGAGGAGATAAACTGTACCCTGGGAAGAGGGAACCTGTGATAGTAACATTTGACATTGTTGTCTCTTGATCTATTTGAATGTAATACAAGAGCTTTGTTAACTTCCGTTCACGGTTATTTGTTAGGACGGAAAATCCCGATAATTCGTATGAATCTCCTTCGGTTAAAGATCTAGAAGTCGTTGGCTGTTTTCTGTGGTAGAGCCGACCTTCCAATAGTTGTCCCTGAACGTTGACAAATTAGTGACTGAAAACAAACTATGTTAAACTGTGAATAATTTTAATTAATATGTTCAAGTTGTATTATATGACTTATGTTGTGGTCATAGCATATGAAGTCGGTGCACTTTATGGTATTGCCTGGGCTGTGACTTTTATATCCCAAATATTCCTTATACACACCATTATAGGGGGCTCTAAAATTCCTTCTAGGAATGTGATGGACGGGAAATGTAATTGTAAAACATGAGACTTTTATTAATGTTATTCATTCTTAAGAATTCTTAAAGAAACTCTAAACTCTAATACTAAACGCATATTAGAAGATGTATATATATTTCTAAATTTTTGAAAAGTGTTTTATAATAAAATTTTCTTCCGAAATACGGTTCTCAAGTTGTGAGAAATGATGGATGGGTTTTTTCATTCATTGCTGGACGGGAAAATCACGGGTGCTTTAGAAATATGCAAAACAGTTCAGGGAATACCAAATTAGTATACTTATATATATAAAAATTATATATAAACTAATAAGATAATTTAGTGATGAAAAATTAAGTGAGTATATTAATAAATAGTTATTTGGTCGGGAAACAAATTTGAAAGCCAGACAATCAAAATTTGCTTCGTTTAATGGTATATCCTCTAAACCCATATTAAAAAGCAGTTTAAATATTTTTAGTTCGGCAATAGTATACAATCTGGAAAAGTGTGTTCTAAGTTATTTTTATGGAGAATACGTTTTTGAAGTTTGAAAATATAATGGAGTTGTAGTACCTTTTAAATGTTTTTTATAAAAAATGATTAAACTAGGACATTACAATAAAATATAAATAGTTGAATTTTGATGGTTTTTCACATCAAAATGTTTGTTTCGTTAGAAACGTTTTGTCGTTTTTAATAATCTAACGTATGTATATCAATTCAGCCCATATAAAAGTGGAATACGTAAGTGGTATTTGTTTTTTTTTACCATGTGGAAAGAATCGGAAAACATCCACGAAATCCAAATAAGTTTGGACGCATTATTATTTTTTTTTAAAAGAGAAAGATGGAGGTGGTTACATATTTACCTGTGTGTGCTTTGTGTTGGTCAGAGAGTGGGGAATCCATTCCGGTGATAACGTAATCCTCGCAAACAATCTATTATCAGTTATGTGGGTGTATTAGCTCTTCTAAATATTGAATTATGAATGTATTAGACTTACATAGTTTGTGGAGGGATAGCCTTGCGAAGATACCAGTTAACGTTTCTGCAATTTAAGGAAGAGGAAGATGAGTTTTGGTGAGTGTTGTTTTTTTTTTCATCCTTTAAAAAGGGTACTCGAAGATAGTTAATGCTTGTTCATAAAATCATACTTATTTCCATTTCTGTCGTACGATTCTCGTTGATTTGGTAATTCATAATCATTCAGTACCAAACTACTAATTACGTATCTTAAAAAGATTTGTCGTTAAGATTTGTGTTTTTAAAATAAGATGACAACCTCAAGTTCAATCACAACGGAACTATTGCTTAATTTTTTTGGGCCATATGTTGTTTGTTCCATTCTTAGGACCGTAACTAAAACACATAAAAACATAAGCCAGATAATTGTTTTGGGCCATATGTTGTTTGTTTCATTCTTAATATCTCAAGCTCAATCACAACGCAGGTGCCAGTCTGCTACGTTTTTTCATACGAAAAAACCTAAAAACATATAGATGGAATGAAACAGCATGATATAAGAATTTAGCAAAACATAGGTATACTCAAATAGATTATAACCGAGGTAGTTCCAAAGATGCAAACGCAAAGTCTTAAAACGAAAAATTAAAAACAGTCTTAACTGAAACAAAAACAGTACTTAAAAATCTTAGCCACACTTTGCACGCTTCCCCTCTACCGGCGCAACACCATCAGAACATCTCTTGACCGGCTCGTTTCCAGATTCCTCACCTTCATCACCAGATTCCTGACCCAAGTTTTCTTCCAAGTCGCCTTCAGGCTCTGGAACTTCAAGGGGAAGCACCTTTGTCACAATTAAAGCCTGACTCTTGCCGGTCAAGTTGTGGTCTGATACCTTGATGATGAACTTTCGAGTTTGCCCGATAGTAGCAACCAGAGCTTGTGGCACTGGGACTACGTGATCATCACCTGTGCTCTCATTGGCCTAACAAATCTCAAAACACAGATGAGAATACAACTTGAAAGATTTTCGTTTAGCAGGTTTGTAATCACCTCAAAATAGCTCTGAACTAATTCTGAGGCTTCCTTCCCAGTCAAGTCACGCCAAGCATTGCCAAGGAGAACAAAAGAGGCTTGATCGCTGTTGTCATAAACATATATCCTCTCCAGGTACCTGATAGAGAAACACATTAACAATGGCTGATGAAAGTGTGAGTTAATTAAACGTGTAACACTTACTTTGCAACTCCGGAAACTTCAGCTTTACCACACTTCTTACACATAAGAGTGGTAGGCCCCTTGGTCGCCTTAGTTTTGCAATTACCACAGGCAATATAATACCAGGCAGATCCATGAACAACATCATCAATGATCGCGGTGCACTCAAAATAAGCAACCAGTGTATTTGAAATATTAAATTTTAAAGATAACCAAGAACTGTCTAATGAATATGGTAAACGTTTGTGTTATTGTACCTTGGCTCCTTCCTTCTTCATATAGGAGAGTAGGTCCCCTATAGAAGCCGTCTCAGGCTTGGTGACAACATAAGCGTTAACGCAATTAGCAACATCCGCGTTCGCACCCAACCTGAAAATTTTTTTAAATAATTTAACCAGAGGAAACTCTCAGTATTTGTATACAACAAATAAAACACACCATGTCAAGTCGTCTCGCGTTGGTTGAACATCAGTGTCGAAAAACACACGAGAAGATGATAGGGAGCACAGTGATAAGACACCTGTAACAATTTAAAAAGTATAAGTCGTTAAGACAATATACTTTCTCAAAACTAAAGAATAAAATCCTATGCAACAACTAAACTAACTGATTTAGGTTGCTCTTCCCAACCCTATTTACTCACTACCTAAAAACTTAATCGTATAATAGTGAAACAAAACCAACCTCCAAAGCTTTCTGGGTTAACAGTTGTCACCAGAATGACTGTGGATTGTTTCCATGAGCTTTAAATTTAACGCAAAAATCAGTAGCAGTCTGGTCCCACAGGTTGAGCTTCATTAAAGGACCCCTGAAACAAAACGAAAATCTAGTGAACAGGAGATTAATATATGATCACATAACCACAAGGACAAGCTGTTACCCGTGTGTTTGAACATGAAGCAAGACTCTGTGTGAGGAAGCAATTTCTGCCTCATCAAGCACAAAACTGCCATTCAAAGCATTCTCGTTAACCAGTTTTATGTGCCCAATACAATCTGCGAGAGAGGAATAGATATTAAGATCCTATATAAAAACGACAACCTACTCCAGAATCGGGTGTAGACAATTAAGACAAAAAACAGCATTATCAAAAATAACTACTGACTTAAACATTGATAATACCATTTCAGAACACAGAGATTGAAGAAATTTTTTGTAAATCAATTTTAACAGATAACATTAACACATCCAAGATATTTTTTCACAGGTAACATTATCACATCCTAACTAAGACCATTACATCTACTTGGCTTACCGTACAAATCTCCTCCTTGATCAGAAGCAGCCTCAAACTCCTCGCATCCTTTGAATCAGAACCGGTCTTCAGGAAACCGCACCGAGCTGTCCTCAAAAACAGAGAGAACAGAGTTCCACGAAAAAGTAATCGTGACACTTGGTTCAGCAACACGGTACACAGGCTTGCTCTTGGACCCGTAGAACTTGTTGAGCTTGTAAACATAACCGGCAACCATGTGTTGTAAGTACGTCTGCATCCTTCCTGGTGGGATGAACCCTTGGATCACAGTACCCTGTTGATAAGGGCAAAGAAACGGTTGTTAGATTGATTCAGTGGGCCAAACAAAAACATGAAACGACAAACAAAGATATCCAAATATACCTCTTCGTCGACCATAAGCATCTCTAGACCAATGAGTGTCTTTGAGCGTGGGTTCCGAGCCTCCCAAAAATGTATCAGACGAAACCGTAACTCCCCTTCTTGTGGTCCGAGTCCAACATCTTTGAAGAACAACACTGGTTCGGAGGACACAACGGCCTTCCCCTTAAGTTTCCTCGACATAGACTCGCCGGAGACATCTTTGGAGGAGGACACACCCTTTTCACCCGGTTGGTTGATTAGCACAACAGAGCGTTCACCGGTTTGTTTGATCGATTCGGGTGCTGAGACATCGGGATTGATCTTCAGATCGCCGGAAACAATCGCTTTGCCAGTGGAGTTCATTTTCGAACTTCTCAGAAACTGAAAAAAGAGAATATTTGAGATATGAGAAAGAGATAATTGTGAAGAAAAGAATATCGGAGGAGAAAAGCTTTATAGGAAAATGAAGGAGTAGAAAGGTGAAAAGAACCCATTATTGCTGTGTTTCGGAGAATTGATTGCAGAGGAAGTGGATTTGTGATTGATTGCAGAGAAACTGAAGTCTTCTGTCGATTCATGAACTCATCGTCTGAGAAATGGAATCGGGAAAGACAACGGCGCGCTTGGCAGAAAGCAAGGTCTCTTAGGGTTTGTCAATGCTCATGGGCCCAAAACATACACAAAACGCAGGCCCAAACCCATGATTGAATGAATGACGTGGTGAAAAGAACAAATCCTATAGGTGGATTAAAAATACTTACGTGAATAGCCTCCTTGTTGCTCGTTAAGAGCTTTTACTTATTGTTTGATGTTACTGCAAAAAATAAAACGCCATATAAAAAGATAATACAACATTAAAAAGACGCTAAAAAAATATTTTAAAATAGCTATAAACAAATGTTATAATATCCAAACTTTTTATAGCACATGAAAATGCACTACAATAGGAGGGTCCTATTATGGATGCGAATGTCAGAGCGTTTACAAAAACTTTATGAAAACGATATGATAGCGTTTTCTCGGTGCTACTAATGCCGATATCTCTTGTAGTGAAGACATTGGAGTTGTCTATGGCATACTCTCAATCGCCTGAGGAACAAATCGAAGGTACTTGAAGCCATGTTTTCATCAAAATAATGATCCTGATACTAGTGATGAAGATGAAGAATGTTATGAGCCACCAAAGAAGTTCAAGTCTATGGTTGAGATCATGGAAAAGGCACCAAGAGTAGAGCTTGAAGAGGCGGCTCAAGAAATAGAAAATTGTCTTCATGCACATGAAGAACCATACACTTATGATGAAGCGTGTGGTAACAAGGAATGGAGTGAGGCGATGAATGGAGAATTGCCATGATTGAGAAGAACAAGACATGAGAATTAGTTGACAAGCCAGAGAAGAAGAATGTGATAAGTGTGAAGTGGATCTATAAGATCAAAACTGATGCAAGCGGAAATCACATCAAGCATAAAGCACGGCTAGTTGCTAGAGGATTCTCTCAGGGAAGTTGAGAAAAAAGGAATCATTGAACTAGAGTATTGCAAAGAGGATGATCAAGTTGCAGACCATCTCACAAAGGCATTGGGCGGTTCAAGGTTTGAAGATCTGAGGAAACACCTTGGAGGAGTGTTAAACTATATAATCTAATCTCTCCTCAATACATTTACATTAGTTAGTTATTACACAAATAGTTGTAACTCTTCATGTTGTGTCTTTTAGTATGAAAAGTTATGTCTTTACAACCAAGAGTTGTGTCTTCACAACACACTGGTTTATCCTCTAGAAATATTGATAGAATCTTGTCTCAGAACACAAATTCATTTAATGTAATATAATAAGAGTTATACTCTGTTTTTTCTTTCACAAAAAAGAGCAAGTTAATTATATTCATATTTTGTTTCTTTTCCTTTTTTATAAATCGTTAACACTCATTTTTTTCTGAATAAAAAATTTCCTTTTCAGAGATACTTAAAAAAAAAAGAAATTCGAAGCGCTGATCAACGGTTGAAAACAGTAAAAGACTTTTTGAATTTTTGGTCATATAAATTTGAAATGTCTTAATTTATAACAATAAAGAATTGGAACACGATTTAAGTAATACTCTAATATAAATTTTATACAAATAATTTAGTCGTTTAATGAATGTAGTTTAAAAAACTAGGAATTATATCAAACTAACAAATTTATAGAACTTTTAGGGGTAAAATGTTTTAGATGCAGGTGCTGTACACGAGTAATCGTATGATCGATGTGGAAGCGGTGATGATGGGCAGTAGAGTTTTCCTGACCTTTGTATATGGGGACCCAGTGGTTAACCAAAGGAAACAAGTATGGGAAAGATTGACCAGATACGGTCTAGCCAGATCGGAACCATGGTTTATTATTGGGGACCTGAATGAGATTACGGGGAATCATGAAAAGGAGGGCGGACCTTTAAGATCTGCGGAATCGTTCTTACCTTTTAATAATATGATTAGACACATGGGTCTCCTTGAGTTCCCAGCCCGGGAAAACAAGATGTCATGGCAGGGAAGAAGGGGGACTGGACTGGTCAGGTGTAGACTAAATCGAGCATTAGAAAATGAGGAATGACATTCCTTATTTCCTTGTTCCTACACGGAGTACCTGGGAATGGTAAGTTCTGATCACAGACCGGTGGTCGCTTTCTTGGAGGATAAGGTTCCAAGACGTAAAGGAAAATTCCGGTTTGATAAGAGGTGGATTGGGAAGGAAGGTCTTCTGGATTCGATTGGTAGGGGATGGGAGTCACAAAGAAATGAGGAGGTTAGTGATTTTGTTACCAAATTAAGTAACTGTCGTCATGAGATTGCAAAATGGAGGAAAGATAACCCCCCATTTGGGAAAAAAAAGATTAGTGATTTGCATGAAGCACTGGAGTTGGTACAATCTGATGATACCAGGACTCAGGAGGACATTGTTGACGTGTCGCATAAATTACAGGAGGCGTATAAATAAGAGGAGGATTATTGGCAACAGAAAAGTCAAAATTTGTGGAATACGGCAGAGAGAGTGGCGGTTAGCTATTTCACGGAGGTATTTGGCACAACGTCACCGACGGAGTTTGATGACTTTCTGGATGAGATTTATCTCGATCTTTCCATTCTTCTTCGGAAAACTTCTATTTTGTCTTCAAACTTGACATTTATCAATTCTTACGAATAATTGGCCTTCATTATATCTTTGGGCTGGATCTTTTCTAAAGTCGTGAGTGGACCTTTATCGCGTTTTAGGAAGTTCCGAGCCGTTTTGCGATTTAGCCATGTTACGACTTTAGACAAGATCGTCCCATGATACGATGCCGTTTTTATAAAACATCTCGAGTTAATTGTATAGTTTCATAATGCCCAGTGTTTCGCTTAACCGTTTTCATTTTATACGATTTACTCGAGGTTTTACGAGAAGACAAGTCTTTAGCGGTTTTTTATAAAATATCTCAAGTTAATCGTATAGATTGGAAATGACTAGTGTTTCGTTTAACCGTTGCCGTTTTATACGATTTACTCAAGGTTTTGCGAGAAAACAAGCCTTTTACGGTTTTTATCGTAAAATTCCAACAATAAGATGGATCGAGACAAAACGAGAGATATTCCGATCACTGTTCAGAGTACGATCGAGTCGAGGAGCATGGATGGTTTGGTTCAGCTCGCCTGTTGGCAAGCTGGACGGTTGTTCGGTTTCGATCTTTTGTCATTTTCTCAACCCGAGATCTTTCCGGAGAATATAAGGAGAAGTAATCGTAGACATTAATTTCAAGGTTACCGTTTTTGACCCCAACAAACAAGGAGGTCTTTTTTTTATTATTTCATACTTTGATACGAGTTTTCCGCAACTTCGTATCACCGTAGCAAGTCTATAGTTTCTTGTACACTTTTTCGGGACTTTAAGCCATTGATTCCGTCGTGACCGATTTTGACCCCAACAATAGTTTTGTTTTTAGCCTGTTTTTTGATTTGTATGTGTACTCTTTAGCTGTGATTATTTTTTTGTAAATTTGAAGAATTATTAATGAAAATATGGTAAATATGTTTACTTCTTAAAATTATTTGACATTATTTAAGTAAACAAGGGTAGAATAATAGTATGGTTCTATGTTTGTAAAGTCAGTAATGATATTTCTCAAGATGTAATATATGTGCTAACAATGTGTTTTCCACTTTTACAAATCAATGAAATAAAAAAGTTCAATGGCCTTCAGATTCAAAACATGATGTTTATTATGTAGTTCTTCTCATCTTTGGATCTCCCATATTCTACTAAAATATAAGTTTGTAACAATAAATAGTTAACTTCTTTTTATTAACTTACAATACTTAAGACGTAAAACTAACAAAGTCTTTTAAGAAGTAAAATCAATAAATTTTGTAATTATAAACAACTAAGATATAATGAGTAGGTTAACTCTTCCAACTTTGATTTCATGTAAATATTATAATTTTCTTGAAATTATTTCAAAATTTTAATAGTTAAAAAGCTTATCTTAAAGTTACTTAACTTTCTTAAAAATACAAGTTTACAAAAACTAACTTGGAAGACTTCCACGGAAGTCTCTTGAGAGAAGAATTCTTAATACGTCTTCTCAGATTAGTTAGAGACATTAAAAACATGAATGTTGGTAACCTCTAAATCGTCACCAATAAAGTTATGAATTTCCTTCTGGGCCCCCACTACAAGAAAACGTTGGTATAGCAACTACATAGTGTTGGTGTCGAAAACCGTAATCTCGAAATCAACGTCTACGATAGCTTCTGTAAAAATCGAATCATTACTTTCCGCAAAAATAGTTTTATAAAACTCGAAGATCGTTTTATAAAACTCGAGAATCGTTTTATAAAACTCAAGAATCGTTTTATAAAACTCGACGATCGTTTTATAAAAACTCGAAGAACTGTTTTATAAAACTCAAGAATCGTTTTATAAAACTCGAGAATCATTTTATAAAACTCGAGAACCATTTCATAAAACTCGAGAACTGTTTTATAAAACTCGAGAATCGTTTTATAAAACTCGAGAATCGTTTTATAAAACTCGAGAATCGTTTTATAAAACTCGACGATCGTTTGATAAAGACTCGAAGAACTGTTTTATAAAACTCGGGAATCGTTTTATAAAACTCGAGAATCGTTTTATAAAACTCGAGAATCGTTTTATAAAACTCGACGATCGTTTTATAAAAACTCGAAGAACCGTTTTATAGAACTCGAGAATCGTTTTACAAAATCGCAAAAAACCGAAACCGCCGCAAAACACGAACTAAGCCAGCTCGGCTTAGTTCGCCAGCAGGCGAACTAGGAACACCCTGACTAGTTCGCCTGCTGGCAAACTAAGCCGAGCTGGCTTAGTTCGC